AGGTAAATGCGCACTCTTCATCATCATCGCTCGCTGGAACCTCGCGGAAAAAGCGTCGACAATTCCGTGAAACATTCTCCGTTCGTGTCTTATATGCGGAATCGGCAAAATCAGAAGGGAATCCGATGAAATTTCGCTCGGAAATCATTTCACTGTCTGGCACGCCGTAACGTGAATTTTTTACGCGGTGATATGTACTTTCTGTTTTATCCGTCTGTTTGTTGTCTATTTGCGATAGTAACTTAACGAATATTTCATCCCTTATAATTTTTATATCATAATTTTTATATATAAGAAATATGTTGAAGTTTTATATGCAAGACTAAAAAACGCGCGAGCGTTGGTTTTCTAAATATTATCCAAGTAAGCTCATCGCATTCTTCATTAAAACGATCATCAATAAATCGTGTGCAGGGATGTTGTAATCTCAAATCGCAGGCAAATGCAAAAAGACAATCGATTCGACGAAGAGTAAATCGTAATACCGGCATTTGATTACCTGTTGCGTCACACCTGTTGCTGCACGTACGCGTTCCACGTGACTTCGTAGTGGCCGTGAAAAGATTTTCTCGATTGTCTCCGTGTCGTATGTATAGTATACCGTGATCTATATAGGTCCGTGATCTATATAGGTCTATGTAGCACAAATTTATCGGTTTATTATTGATATATATAAACTAATAATATGAATAATATAAAGAAATCAATCTATAAAAACGTGGAACAAAAGATATCCAATTTTCTGATTCTTCCAATATATTTTTAAGCAATATAGGAAGGAAGAGAGTAGGAACGCGGTTCTAAATACAGCATGCACAGTTTGTACAACTGAACGTGACGTTTCAATTCGTACGTTTTCAGCCGGAGAAATGAATATTTTCGATTTCCCCTGTTGATAAAACACCTCGTAGTTCGATCGTGCTCACGTCCTCTCAGGAATCTCTCTCGATCTCATTGTTCGTGGGCAGCAGGGCAGAAAGCGGCGCTTCCGGTTTCAGGTTGAGTTGCACGACGGTCAGACGAACGAACGGACAAGCCTGGCTGCATCCTGACCCCCCAGGTAAGCACCTGCGCCATGTTGAGCATGATTTAAACGGAGTGGAAGGGAAAGCACGTAACGTCTCATTTCTGCGCGAAATTTCTCGATGGTACCGTGTTATACCTCCGATCTAATATAGTATTCTCTACTTAAACAAACAATTAAGATATTTTCACTCGATTGTATTTTTTTATCGTAAATATTTCGCGATATTGCATTCATTCATAATTCATAACGCAAGATTTCACCTGTATAATTAATGCGGCGCACATAATTAACAGCGAGCGATGAAGTTCTGAAACGTTGAATCCTCTCGCATGGAGGAGCGAACCGTGACCTGTGCGTGCGCATAACAACGTTATTACTTTTCTTTTTTTAGCGCTTCTGCGTGGTACCCGCGGAAAATTGTCGTAGCAACGGGAAGTGAATAAGTCAGCGCGGAACCGGAAGTCACCGTGGGATCGCTCACGGAGGCCGCTGAAAATACCGAGCGAAATCTTCGTGCATCCTGGGAACCGCCGATTAGCCACACGCGCGTGTATATTTTTCGCCCGTGTCGTGTGTGCAGGCAATCATCGCGGCACACGCACACACGGAAACTTGACGCGCGAGCGTTGGAGATACAACACGCGGGAGATACGAAACGTTAGGCGAATGCGCAGATAAATCCTTTGTGGCTTTTACAACTACGCCACAGAAGTGTCTTTAATCGTGAGAAAATAAAGATCATCTCCTATTCAGCCAATCCATTGAAAGCCGTCGTGTTCTGGATAAAAAACTTGGAAACGGAGATTAGGGGGAGAAGTCGAATCATTACGTTATTGCTATGTTCCACGTTACACAGACACAAGTGGAAACAGTTAATAAAGGAGTTGCTGTACACCACTACAAGGTAGGTCGATGACTCATGCTAATCATTGTTATGCTACGAAAAACGTCAGCTTCTAACTATTGAAAAAAGTATGAAGCATACTTCGTCTCCGGTCTTAATCACTGTAGCTCCACGTTATATAAAGAATATATAATGAAGTGGTGGAAAGCGCCAAAAGCACCTAATGAAGCACATTAATCAATGACAGCGGATGCAACATCCACGATATTTGGACGCTACTTAGACAAATGTTTGGCAAGTATGATTGAAGGATTAACAATGATACGGTAATGAGAAGTGACTTTACGGTAACGTTTTATTGGAGCGATGTGTATATTCGTCTTTTGATTTCTAGGTATCGAATTTGATCTACATCCAGAGACCGTGGGCGATGCTGACATCACGCTGACCAATGACTTCCTTGGCTCGGTGTCCTTGAAAAATAAATATGGGCACTTTTTGCGGTAGTGATTCAACGTCGCAATTTACCGTTGTTCATTCTAACGACGCGAGAATACACAAATAGTCGCAACGCCAAGAGTATTTTACACATCAATGTATATTCAAAATCGATAACGCAATTAAATGAATCAAAGAGAACAAAAAATTTTTTTTAGTTTAAGGAAAAACATATATGCTATTTCTATATTGACAAATATTACAAAATTTATTTAGGCCAAAGCAGAAAAAAATAGTAAACTTTCAAAAAACGATATGAAAATTTAAGAAAGGGAAGCGAATTTTGAAGATCTGACACTTCGTTTATGACAGTTGGTTTATGTTAATCATTTTAGACTGAATCGTGTAATTTTCGAAACATTTTCTTCATGTCGAACTCCATTTTTTTTCGATAACGCACGAATTCACAATTGTTTTACGAGCCATCAATCTTCGACCATCGTCATCGCGAAAGCTAATATTGACTTATAGTCAAAATCAGTACCTCATAACAATATATCGATCATGACGGCTCATTCACATTCGTAAAATGATGCTAAAAGTGTCCGATCTCGCAAAAGCGGACACATTTATTTCGCGAGTTTCTGTAAATATCACTTCTAATATATATTGTTGATATATTGTGGCGATCACTCAACACCAACGTCTCTATTCAAAATATTAATAGCGCTAGTCTAAAAAAAATTTGTAATCGAGTATCAATCTCTCTATTAATAGCTAATCTAATCAGCTTTTCAGAAGTGCATCTCTTTAAATATATAGTGAAAGGTTTTTTGAGCGACTCTTAGACACTTAATATTATTGTACAATTATTTTGTATAATATTATTTCGATGCCTCTTTTAAAGAATTCCGAACAAATTGTCTGTAGGCTCAATACAGCTTTCAAGATGATTAATATTTTGTAATATCAAATATTGTAATAACATTGATTGTCTAAGTTTAGAGGTCGCTTTTGCGTTTCGACAATATGAAAGTCATACAAAATTTTTCCCCTTGCTATTTGTATGTTATAAAAAGGTACATTAATAAAAAGGCATCGTAACGTTCCGGTAGGTGAAACATCTCTATGTTGGTTGATTGGCTACGTAGTTCTTTTGTTGCGTTCCATTGAGTAATCAATGAACGGAGTTTTTATATAATGCGGTACACATAAAAGCGGTGTTTATTCCATCAGCTAAAATATACCGTGCGTCGTATCGCTGTCTCATAACCGCAAACTATTTCAGTATACGCTCGTACAAAGCTAGTATATGTAATTATTAAGGCTTATACTTGTCTTGGCATCGAATGACATCGCACGATGGGATTTCCGGGAAACTATTATTTTTAGTTCGGCCTGTAATCAAGCCGTGTATTACAGAACGGATACCGAGACAATATCGAGAATCGAGATCGTGGCACGCAACGTGGCTTCAAGCTTTCGAACAAAGATGAAATTGTTAAACGTCAAATGGTCCACTTTCGCGCCGCGTATGAATAAAACAGGTGTACGTCAATAATTTATTTTGCAAGCTGACGCAATATGTAGCACTTAGTTATATGTTTCTATCTATCTCGTTACGTAATAATCGCGCAAACGTTGACGCTAAAAATCATAAGACGCCAAATATCAGTTTTAAGAGCACATGGATTGTGTGACGGTAATTTACTGTTTTTGCATTTTGCAGATTTTTTCTACAATTTCGAATCAATCGACGAGATCTATGGGGCGAGCTCTCGTTGCACTTGCGATAAGTAACGATACGATTTTTCCGCTGAAATCAGCGAACGTGCTTTTAACGCATCCACGTGGATCGGGAATACTTAGCGATAAATATAAAAGCCACGATTTATGGGAGCTCGCTGGTAGCGGGATTCGATACATGTCGTCAGTCATCGCGACGTCGAGCGTCGGTAGCAAAATGCATCTGGATGATCGCCAAATTCAAAAATAAGTCGAAATTCAAAGGAATCGCCCGATCGTCAGCGGCTTACTCTGTTCGTTGATCGTTTTGCAACGGCAGTAATGTATAGTCAATTTACGAAACACTGAGACGACGAGGATATCCGTTCCTATGGACTTTGGATGCGTGCGGCGGATCTCTCACGCTGACAGGAGATCTTTAGATGTTTGTTTCTTTATGCAACAATCTTTTCCCTCTATGAATGTACTAATAAATATGTTGGAGCCGCACAGTCATCGTCCAGTATGATTCACAAAATCGATTTTCAGGCTCGTCAGGCTCATCTCGACGGCGCGGCGTCGTGGTTATAATCTCAAGATTTCTCTCGAATTTCGAGAGCAGCCCCCGTATTTATGGGGTTGACGCAACCGTCTCTCGTCACGCTCGGCAAAACGAAACCGAAAACTAATTTAGAGCAGACGATCCGTATTTTTGTACTCGCCATAGTACGACCACTTTTGTCTTGGACGTAATTGCCATTCGTATCGAGCCGATCTTTCTCGAGATCGATTCTTATACGGTTCTTATAAATCTCTCCGGCTACATGGTACAGACGAGATGCTCAGTGAGAGTAAGCGCGCGAGCTGGCAGCGAATGGGGGGTCAAAGGAAAGAGAGGGGGCAATAGAAGGATAGACGGCCTTTTCAGACCCCTGGGTGACCAGTTTAGTTCTGGTTGGCATCCGAACTGCGTGCTGCACAGGATCCAGAGATGACACGGTAATCATCCTTCAGCCAGCGTTTGAAGACCTGACGTTTCGATAAATACGATGGGAAAATGACACGAAATAACTCCGCTGCGATGTGCTTCGCTGATCAAAGCGCTTGTCAGAAATCGCATTGGTGTTAGTGTAGTCTGACGTTTCTGGGAAGTTAAGTTTAATAACTGCAGCAATCACTCACGTGCGCTGTTCAGCTGTTGCATGTCAGAGTTAAATAATGTGCTACTCTTGAATCATAGAATTGAAAAAAATTAGAATTGTACCGTGAGAGACGCGTTTGAACTTAGAACCAACGATGACAGCTTAGTTAACGAAGTTGCAAAACAAGTATCTAGGAATACGAAGTGAACGGGTGAACGCTACCGTTCCGATTGCAAATACCATTCGCACGGTATACCTCCAAGAAAGAATCGCGGCAGCACGCTCGCATGGCGAGTTCGCCATCGCACTTTTTTTTCTAAAATGATATTTAATCGGAGCATGGGAGAGTCGAATAAAATTCGACGATAAAACCATTCAACGCCATATGTGGAAACGTGAAAAGCAAACTCGTTTTGCACGTTCGAAAACGCGTTTTACCGCGGCACACACTTTTGCCGTTGGTTAAATGACACTTGAGAAATTGACACACACATTTTCACTATTCCGAACGTGAGCCATAGGGAAGGAGAGTCGTTGATGGAGACACGCATACTCGCTTTCGAACAGTATGTTATGAGAACACTTCCTTAAAGCAATATCGATCGTGAGGTGTTTTCCAACCCGAGAAAAATTCGAGAAACGCGTGCTGTCGTCTTCGAAGACGATCAAAGTGCCGGGTGATTCTTATATATTTAAACTCACAATCATTACATCGAAGACTAACAAAGTCGTTTCTCGGAAACCACGTTACAAATTGAAGTCACGAAGAGCAGATATGGGAGCGAGTCCTCGTCGGTACGTGGTCTAAGAATATCGTGGAGTGGATCGTTGAACCAGAGCTTCCTTTCTTCTTTCCACGTGTCGAAGTGCCCGGGAGAAATAAATCAGAAACTTTCTCTGACGACGTTCGGCTTGACAGTATTCCGTAAACGATGTCAGGGGACACCACGTCCGATGATGAGGGATCGCAGGAGGATCCGCCACGTTACGACATCGACGATTTAGAAATCATCAAGACTATTGGTGAGTTCGAAATATTATATTAGTTGAAAGTCTGAGAGATTGGGATTATATTATTTTACATTAAATTGTTTGTCTATCTTTTTCTAAAATTTTATTTTAATCATAATTTTTATTTATCTATAATATTTTAGGTCATTACAAATGTAAAGAATGAATCGATACGACACACAATTCTTGAATTGAAATTCTATAAAAATATTATTCCTATAATCATATTCGTTTTTAGAGAATTTTATATTTTGTTTATAAATAGCGCGGTACAAAAAAAAAGAAACTAAACTTATAAAATGTCCTTTAAAATATTGATATCTTATAAAATTACATTAACAAACATATAAAATTACAATTAGAGAAATTTCTTATGTTTAATGGTGCATAAAATTACCTACTATTAGAAAGTTGTTAAATTCTGATATATAAATTTGTGAGTATTATATGTATTTATGCAAAACTAAATAAAGAGAAGCAAACTCAGTTTGCAATAATCAAAATATAATATTTTGGATCACAAATTTGGGAAAAAATAACCAGCGAGAAGAAATTAAATTCGCCGCTTTCAAAGTAGGACACCAGAGAGTAAGAGGATATCCCACTGTATATATTTAACTGCTCGTTAAAGTCAGAATTATGTGAGAGAATGGTTCGGAAAATTGCAAAGGAAAGGTGCTCGGCTCGTGAGACTCTCTTTTTCTATTTTTTGTAATTTTAGCCCCAGATGCGTTCGGGCTATTGCAACTTAGTGCAACGAAAATTTTCAAACGTTCTTTTACACGTTCCCTGGGTTCTTAATATCAATTGGACAATCTCGTTCAAGACTGTCGCGCGACACGTCATCTAAATTCGTATCGGTCGAGTATTTAAAGCGTCTACGCCATCACCGGAAACGCTCGTCGTTTTACCGTTGACACCTGTTTTGAGCCGTCGTTGGCAGCGGTCTTCTCGTTGCTGGTAGACGACATGTATCATACTATCCCCTGCTGCGCGGCCAATTTCGTCGCTATTCCATGCGCGAGACTTTCGACACAAGTATGTAAGCGCACATAAACATGTAAAATCTTGCGGCCGCACTGCAATATGACGGCCAATTTCGCTGTTTAATTTGGCCAAGGCTCATTGCATGCTCGCTAATTGGTTGCGGTACGTTAACCAGAACAACCGAGTCACCTGCATTCGTGGGAAAGTCCATTAAATAGATCGCTATGCGCAATGCATATCAGCTAAAAAGAACGTCGAAAGCGTTGGTAATTAACGGTCACTTCAATAGTTGGTTTATTATACATATTTTGCTAAAAGCGCACTTAATTATTCATAAAATCGTGTTGTATTGAATTTCGGTCATAATATTGACAGTTCAATAATAGAATTTATTCATCAGCTTACGATATCTTGTTATGAGAACGATTTTTTGGTTTAACAAAATTAATTTATGATGTTGGAAAATAAAAATAATTAAGATGCTTATTACATTATTGTTAAATTGACGATTAACCTTATAACAAATAGTAAGATCGGGATATCAAATGTAACTCCACGGTTTGTTCGTCCTCTGGCAAAAATAAAAATAGGAGTGTAAATCAAATGTAAAGGAAGAGTAACAGAAATGTCAATGAAACTTTTAGAAAGTGTAAATTGGAACAGCGAAACGTAAAAAGATCGTTTACTTTTTAAAACGCTTTTTTACATTATGCTGTTCCAATTTAAGCTTCGTGGAAAATTCGTTTGCGCACTTTTATTTTTCTTCTTTGACTTAAGCTCCGATTTTCATTTTCGAGAGTCAAAGCGTTTTTTTGTTTTACTGTAATTATTCAAAATCAGTTGGTAAACTTTATTGTATTCTTTTTTGCTTAACTGGAAATCGTAAGATTCACTTAAAAATATTGTTAGCTTTAACCGTACTTGATGATTTTCTATTTATTTGAAAAATTATTATGATATAAAATAATCTTGAGTTCTAATTTATTAGTATCTTTAAAGTTGCGCATGTAAATCCTAATTAATATCTAAATGTTTAAATATGATTTTTTAAGGCACAGGCACCTTCGGCAGGGTAGTTCTCTGCAGGCACCATGGAACGCCTCTCGCATTAAAAATCCTCTCCATGGTCGACGTAATCAGATTAAAGCAAGTCGAGCACTTGCGCAATGAAATTACAATTCTGAAGGAAGTTAAGCACCCTTTCATCGTCAATATGTAAGTATTACGTCTGTTATTATATTAAATAGAAAACATTATTTGATAATAGTTGGCAATTATTCCCCGACAATCTCAAGAGTGTTTATTCGCGATATAATCGTCTAAGAGAATGAAGAAAGTGTTGCGTTTCTCGGTCAAGGAAAGGATTCTCGCGGAGCAGATTGAAAACCTGGCCAAGACTAAGCAGATACACGCAAACGCTATTCAACTAGTTTGCGCCACGTCGCAATTAATAGCTGGATAGAAGCGAGAGAAATCGATCCGCTCGCGAGGTGAACTTTCTTTCAATCGGCGGAGCGAAATCGAGATCTGCTCGCGTAACAACTTGGCTTGCTCGATTTTGTCACCTCGTTTTCAAACTGATATTCGTCTTTTCAGGTTATGGAACGGCAGGGACGAAGCCAGAGTGTACATGTTACTGGAATTCGTCGCCGGTGGAGAGCTTTTCTCTTATTTAAGAGCGGCCGGAAGATTCGCAGGACCCACGAGTTGTTTCTACGCAGCCGAAATAGTTTGCGCTCTAGATTATCTGCACATCAAGCATATAGTTTACAGAGACCTCAAGCCAGAAAATCTTCTCCTTGACAGTCAAGGCCATCTCAAAATCACCGATTTCGGCTTCTCCAAGAAACTTACGGACAGGTGAGTCATTTGAAAACAAGAATAATTTAGAAATAGAATATAAATTGAGATAACAATTGAAGATAAATGGATTAAAATTTACTTGTTAATAACAGGGTTGGATAAGTTAATGTTATTTTAAACTAAATTAAATCAAAGAATATTTCGGTAGAAAAACAGTACATAAAAGTAACATTAACGAGTTTACTTAATAAAATATTCATCAATTTAATGTCATTTTCTATTTCTTTCTTAAAGTGTAAATTGTACTGTAAAGTTTAAATTGTATTGGTAAGGACTATCTATCACAATAAATAAAGATATGCAGTGTCATGCAATTAGCGCATATTACAGCCAACTTCACCTGTTCTTAACGGCGTGTCATAACAAAACATTGTAAGACCGTGGCTATAATTAACGTACATTTTTAGAACATGGACCTTGTGTGGAACGCCAGAATATTTGGCGCCGGAAATAATTCAAAGCAAAGGACACAATAAAGCCGTAGACTGGTGGGCGTTAGGCGTTTTAATTTACGAAATGCTGGCGGGATATCCACCATTCTTTGATGACAACCCTTTCGGGATCTACGAGAAGATCCTGAGCGGTAGGATAGAATGGCCAAAGCACATGGATCCCATAGCGAAAGATCTGATCAAGAAATTATTGATCGCTGACAGAACGAAGAGATTAGGAAATATGAGGCAGGGTGCTGAGGACGTGAAGAGGCATCGATGGTTTAAGCTAGTCGAATGGCCCTTGGTAATTTGATATTAGTCTGCTTGATTTCGCGTTGTATACATACATGCAGATAGATAAAAAATGGCAGAAGCTAAAAAATTAGTACTTAATAGTGTCACCATACACTAAAAAAAAAATTAAATTTTAATAAATATTTGTTTGAATATTTCTAACAAGGGAACATAACAAGGGAACATAACCAATTGACAAATAAGTTTTGGATAAGTTAAAATCGGTCAAAAATAAAAGACATTTTTTCGTATTCCCTTGTAAGTAAATATTTACTAAATTATTTACTAAAAATATATTTATTTGATACAAGAACGAATTATTTGATTTAATTATCATTTTTTATTGAGTAAATAGTACTATTCAAAGAAATATATATATAAGATTTACAATAACGAATTCGATTGGAAGTACGAGTGCACATTAAAACCGTCGTATACAAATCGATGTAAAAATGCATGTTTAATATAAATATTTAATAAACCGCGAAATCCTTACTATATTTCACTGTTTCATAAAATATGTATTAGGCGTTTTATTATTCAAAATATTTGTATTTTACTTTTACACTTAAACTAGATCAATATACAATTACTTTTTAATATGCATCATTGTGCACTAGTATTAGTGCATCCAATCGAATTCGTTATTACAGTAAATTTATTTTTCAGTGTATGCGTTTTGTGATGTCGGAATGCAGTTAAACAATCGATCAATATTCACAGGTGCCGCAAAGAGCCTTGACACCCCCGATAAGGCCACGTGTAAAAACACCGGGTGATGCGAGCTGCTTCGATGATTATCCTGAAACTGACTGGCGTTCCCAACCGCCTTTACCACCAGACCAACTAGCTCTATTCCAAGATTTTTGACAGCTAATGTGACGATACCGTTGAATAGTCACAAATATTTTCACTCGTAAAGGCACTGGTTAAATTGAAACTCACTTTGTGGTATAAAACAATTGCGATAACGTTTTGGCGAGATATGTTGATAATTAATTTTCCATTTTGTACATACGTAACTTTTTATATTTCATTGTGTATTACTTATTTATTTGTACGTGTTCTAGGCTAGGCATTCCTTCTCGTTGTTTTCGTGAGATTCTGTAAATAAAGGTTGAACAGTAAATTTTAAGTGTATTATATGATTTAATTCTCACAGAACTTATCTATTTTTCTTAAAACTGTCAATGACCGTTTCCACCAATATAGATTAATTTTAATCTTTTTCAATTTATTTTTTATCTTTTTCTAATTTTTAAAATAAAAAAAAATAAAGAGTAAGTTTTAAAGTAAAGATTAAAGTGAATCATTGGTGAAAACGAGCATATGAATCATAAGATGACACTGTGTATAATATTGTATTTTAGATATGTATTACAATCGATTTATACTTTTAATCGCACACACAGTCGTCGGAAAATAAATCTGTTTAAAGTACTGCATTTATCTGATTATCAGATTTACCATCATATTTCATTAATTTTACAAAACATAATAAATTATATAAAATTAACCTTGACACGGTATGTTTGCATGTTTGATCGTAGCAACACAACTTTCTATGAAGCGATGAAATCAACGTGATTCTAATCAAACAATAGTATAAAGTAACACACCGTAGAAGAAGCATTATCAAGCGAATGGTTCTGTACAAAATATTTTGTAAGCAGTGAATATCAAGAAGATATTGAGAAAACCTCGAATTTTCCAATTTATCTGCGTCATGTTATCAAATACTTTGCAACATAAGCGACATAGAGTGAAAAGGATTACAGTAAGTCATGTAGAAATCTCGAAAAGGACGAACGAAAAATTAGTTGAGTATCCTATTGATAATCAGCCAGTAGTAAAAAGCAGAAAAGAAATTGTCCACAAGTTTTTACAAGAATATCTATATGACAGTTCGGTGCATGGCATGAAGTATTTCAGTAATTTGAAAATAAAATCCAGCATTATCGGAAAACTCTTTTGGACCGCAATTATAATCTGTAGTTTTGTGTGTAAGTAACAAATGTATAGTCATACACTGATACAGATATAATATCATTTTTGCACTTTTAAGTCTTTGGCTATGTGTTCACTATAAAGCTTGTAGCGAAATTCGGCTATTATAAGAAACGCGAATATTCTTTTTCATTGAAACAAATGCAGATCAAAACAATTGCTATCCTTTCTTGATAGCAACAAACATAGAAAATAACCATAGTGTACATTTTATTCCAAAAAGAACGTTTAGTTCATTAACGGATCCACGAGAGGGGGAGGAGTGCATTGGGACCATCTTCCCTTGAAGTTTCCTTTTTTTAAAAAAATTATAATAAAATGTTATATAATATCTGTAATATTTCTGAGATGCCTAATCACAATTTTAATATTCCAAAAATATTAGCAGTAAATCACACGGCGATAACACCTTTAGCATCTCTGAAGAAAACACTGATGAAAGCCTCAAAAGTAATATATTCCAAAAATATTTTTTAATTTAAGAAACTCTTAGAGAGAAAAAAACATATATTCCATTATATTATTCTTTTTTGTGTGTTAATATAATTTTAAATAAAACGTTTTATGAATTATACATTAAATAATATTTTTTCAATGTAATAATTTAAATAATAATTTAATATTCTATTTTTTTATATTTAACTTTAAAAAAAATCTCTCCTGGAGCGTGCCAATGATCCTCCTGACAAATTTTGAATCCGCTAATAAGTTTTTTAGAAGGAAGCCACTATATGAGTAAATGGCACGTAATAGCTAAAGAGTTAATAGTAGCTTAATCTTAGTTAATTATTGATTAGCTACGTTGCTTAATGCATGTCAAAATTCGTCAAATATAAATATCATTTTTTTAGTCTTAACTCTGATGCTGCATAAATTCTGGGACCGTTACAACGCTAATCCAATCCGTAGCATTGTTAAGTCGTTTCACGTCCCAATATTTATGGCCCCCTTCCCAGCTCTTACTATTTGTCCATTAATACCACCGCCAATTGCAAGACGCAACATAGTATTTGCAAGTTTGCGTTTACCAAATAATATGTCGTACACTACAGGGAGGTTTCTAGTTAGGTATGAATATTTTTTTTATTCATAGTATACATAATTTGTAAAAATAAATAATCCTAATTACAAAGAAACAACTTTGTGATGTCTAAGATTTATATTTAATAATAATAGGACACGAAATTTTTTTTAGATATGGACCTGCTTTTGCGAATGAAAACGCTCCTGGCGGTAAAGATCATATAGACAATTTTAATTTACTGTTGAAAACAAATAACTTGACACTGATAAACTTTATAAAAGCTTTACGACCTTGCGAAGACATATTCGAATCCTGTACATGGGAAGACGTTGATAAGAATTGCAGCGAACTGTTCAAGGTATCTTATACTTTCGCAGGTATATGTTGTTCCTTCAACTATCATCTCGAAGAGTCCATAAAAACCGGCAGGTAATCATTATATTACAATATATAATTACATTTGCTTAATTGCTATTATATATTAATTATTATTATGACAAAATTGTCTTATAACTTAATTTCACTTAAACTAGAGCCACAAAAGTCGACGATCTTCTCAGAACTCCTTTTTACGGACCAAGAACCGGTCTTCAAATTGTTCTAAACCGACATTTTTTGATCGAGGATGATGACATAGACGAAAAATACATCAAATCTTCAACAAATTCCGTTGGTCTTGTGGTACAAAGTTGATACATACAATGTTAATGTTTTTTTAACGTGACACGAATAATTATATTTTTCATATACAATACGTATTAAAAAAGAGAATTATATTCACACGAATTCTCATAACAAATATTTGTCTGTCACATTTCTTCAAATAGATATTCAAAAAGGTATTAATATAATTTTTTATATGAGATATATAGGTGTTTTCTCATCATCCTCTGGAATATGTCGCTACTATAGCTGCTAGACAAATTCTACAAAAAGGGCGATATGTACACGTAATTATATATTCTTATAAACACAGTTTAAATTCTTTTCTCTAATGTTCTAAATAAATGTTTAGTGAAACATTTTCCAAGTATTTTGCATAATATCTGATTTTGCTTTGATACGATATAGACCTCCGTAAATCCAATTATCATTAGAAAACTCAGTGGGTATTACCATCAAGATTCTATGAGCGGTAAACTGATTCAGAATTGTGCAGATGAAAAAACTAAATTGGACTATTTTCCTACGTATGGATATTCCAATTGCTTTACCAGCTGCTCTATCAAGGCTGTTCTCCAAGCCTGTGGTTGTTTGCCACTCTACTACACGCCTATAGCTGAAAAACATTCATTAAGGGTAACTTTAAAATAAAATTTTATAAAATTATTTCTTTAAATTATATTATCTTAGTTATAACAGGTTGTATAAATAATATATCCTAATACTTATAGCTATGCGAGTGGGAAGATTTCCAATGCCTTTACGAGAATGCGGACAAAATACGGATCGTTCAAAATGTTGTTAGAGAAAATTTTACGTGTGAATGTTTTACGCCATGCCAGAGTGTGCAGTACGATTTACAGACTTCCATGCTTATGTTAAATGGTGATCGGGATTACAATCCTTTGTCGTTGTAAGTAGTAAATAATAAAATAAAACACATCGCGCTCAAAGTGTAATTTAAATATACGTGGGCAACTTGAAAAATTTCTTAAGTCACACAGAGATAGCGCGCGTTTTGCAGAATTTCAGTCATCGTATTTTTTGGACGGCTTAAAGAAATTGGAGCACCGCTGGACAAAGTGTATTGAATTAAAGGGAGATTATATTAAAAAATAAAAAGAAACTTTTCCGAAAAAATATTGTTTTCTTTCCGAAACTTAAGAAACTTTTCAAGTTGCCCACATACATATACTATTATATAATATATTGCATCCCTATATATATACATATATATACACCTATATATATATGTTATTGTATTTATTTCAGTAAAAATATTTCAACTAATCAATCCATTCTAAGAATATTTATGAAATCCGCTACATTCATAGAAATGGATACAATTCCGATTGCTGATGAATTATATTTGCTAGGTAAGCAATCGTTTCTAACCAGTAAACACCAACTAAAAGTAATATAACATTAATGTTATAATTTCACACTCAATAATATAAATGTAATAAGATATCTGAAGATTAGCCGAATAAAGCCCACTTATTTATTTTTTTATATTTTTTATGGGAATATTGAAATTAATAAACTAGGTGAGAATAAAATCGTTATTTACTCACTTACAAAAATAAAATATGTGTTCTATAAAATATTTGTAAATAAACAAAAAAAAATTTTTAAATTCTGACATTAGACCTTATTATATACAGGGTGTTTCCAAATTAAATGGCAAAACTTCGGGAGCGTGTAGAGGAGTAAAAAACTAAGAAAAAAAGTCCTATAGACATATGCTCGTTTTTGCTCCGTTTCAGAGAAATCGAAAAAAAATGTTTACATTTCTTGCCATATCTAGCACCGACATATTTGATTACATTTTCCACTTTCTGTTATGAATTTGTCAGTCGCTCTTTGAAAGCCTTTAACAGTAGATGAATTTTGTCTTTTGCAATATGCCGCGTACGTATTCTAATAGTGAATATGCTGATATGGTTTTTGTATACGGTTTCTGCAACGGTAATGCTTTAAAGGCGGTGCGAGAATATGCACGACGATTTCCAAACAGAAGAGTGCCAAACCGAAGAGTGTTTATGTTGACATTTAATAGATTGCGAGAGACTGGAACATTTTCAATTCGACAAGAAAACAACCGATTTCAAGTAAAAGGAGCATATGTCTATAGGACTTTTTTTCTTAGTTTTTTACTCCTCTACACGCTCCCGAAGTTTTGCCATTTAATTTGGAAACACCCTGTACATATGAATATAACGTGTGTTGCTGCTGATTCTAATTCTTTAGCCCCTTTTTATGTACTTTTATGTACCCGTGGTACATCTTTGAAGCATATCTCTAGGCGTAAAGAGCGTTTTTAAGTAATTTTAAGAAACTTGACGTTATTTAGTGCTGGATTTTATTCGGCTTAGATATCTTATAACACATGTTCTAACAGTTACATTGTTCAGTGTGAAGTTATAATA